GCTACAGACTGGTGTTTTTCAGTACCCCGGTTTCAAACTTGCTCCCTTATATATAGTATTTTGCTTTTCACACTGTTGGCTGTTCAGCACAGGTATACCTAAGAGCCAGAGGCCCCTGACAGCACAGTAGAGTGAGAGAGAAGTAGAGCTTCGTGCACATGGTGAGTTAGGTCTTGATGGTGTCAAATATAGGGCAGAGACGAAGCAAAATGTCCGTACTGGTTATCAGTTATGGCTCTCAGAGGCCAACTTGTTCAGTGAAGTTCAGGGAGGGCACAGTTTAACCACACCCACCTGGAGACCAGGGAGTGGATAGAACTGCCTTGGTGTAGGAAAACAGACAGAGAAGGGTGGGCATGTGTGATGGCATGTTGAAAATACATCACATGCTGCGACCTCACAAGCCTGAGGTTGAACCAAGGCAGTGGCTGCTGCCGAGCTTTCTTTATGGCTGGCTTCAGTTACTGCTAGAGAGTCTGCTGGGCTCCTGCTAAGCTTCTGGGTCTGGAGTCATCAGCGTTATCAAAGTGAATTGGATGAGAGCTATCTGTGGCCGGCCCTCCTGGAGTCATAAATCCTCTCCTGTTGATGGCTTCTACCACGATGTGTTAATGGTAGTATTTACAGTTACTTGTCAGGAGGGAAGGGTTCAGTACCCCAAAGCCCAGTGAAACAGGGATTCCCTGTGTTTGTAGGCTGAACTCCACAAAAGAAAAGATTTCTCACAGTAGGAGGGATCCAATTAGAGCTACACTTCCAGGGGGAAGGCTAACATAGTCCCTGTATCCTGATAACATTTCCTCTTCCTCTTCCATGCCATGTGGAAAACCATGGTATTGTATTTGGAGAACACTGTGAAATGTTCATCAGTAGGAATAGAACTTGTCTCTTACTCAACCTCTATCTGCCTACGACCTTACGCGTATGTCTCATCAGGACTGTGTGTTTTGAAACTGGAGACAACCCATCTCCTAACAGAACCCTCAACCTCCATTAGCTATCTCAGGACTCCAAAGGGTCACACATTTAAAACAAGGGACCTGACACTAGAAACTGGGGAGGAAGGAAGTAAAGGAGGGTAGTGTAGCAGTTGACTCTGGAGCCAGATGGTCTTAATTCAAATCTCATGCTTCTCTACTAGCTCCATGGCCTTGGGCATATTATGAAATCTCTCTGTGCCTCAGTTTCCTCTAATGGGAAATGATAGTACATATAGGTCCTATGTGATAAGATGACTCAAGTACTGATCTGATCTGATCTGATCTGATCTGGTCTGATCTGGTCTGATCTGGGTGTGTGTGTAAAGGGCTTGGCATGGACCAGGCACGATTGTTAACTGCTAAATGTTAGTATGTATAAAAGGAAGGGTTTTCTGCATTCAGGATGATTCTTTTTCTTCCTTACGTCCTTGGAACCTCCACTCTGTGACCTTCTTCCTAATTTACATTTATGGAGCCAGCTGTTCCAATAGCCTCTCTTTCTTCTGGTTGGGGATGGGAAGGGAAAGCACCTTGCATATGAGCGCTTATTATTTTTTGGTATTGCTTACAGTGTCATCTTAAACCAATATGCCACAGCTCATTTTCATTCAGAGCTAAGGGCCCTTTAAACCAGCCATTCGCCATTTACTCCGTTTTAAAAAAGGAAGGTCTTCGGGTTTCATGTTCCTTTATTGTATTTTGTAAGGCACAGAACACATATTGGATACTATGTAAATGCGGAAGACTCCAACAATAGTAACAGACAGATGAGAAACTGCAGGAAGTGGAGACACCATTTTGGATTTAGCTTTTTATCGATGGGCTGAGTGATTTGGAAGAGACAATGTGGCTCCAGGGCTAAAGAGCCCACAGGGATTTCCACAACAAAGGTTTGAGTCTCGGTCACAGCAGCAGCTCTGGTGACCCCAAGCGAGCAGCTTCCTTCCCCTGGACCTCAAATTCTCCCCATGAGTACTGGGCTTGGTGCCACAAAACTGCCTTCCAGGGATGCTAAGTTAGCCCGGCCATATGTGGTTGCACAGACTGTGCACTGCCAAAGAGTGTCCACTGACAGGGCAAGTCGGGGGAGGATGTGCTCTTACTACAGTATCTCTGTATCAGTCTGTACCCTGGTGATGGGTTGTGTCCATATAAAGGAAGCAAGTTCTTTGCTCTTCTATTTTACACAATAGTATTAATATAGATTAGTAGAGACCCTGAATTAAGCAACTTGACAGGAGTGGAGCATGGAGTTCAGCAAACAGAATGTACAGATTAATTCAACATAGCTACTATGCTCTGAGACAGGCCCAATTTCAGGGGCTGGAGATGTAGTGGTGGATATAGTTACCTACTGTGTGTAAGATGGTGAGATAGATACAGGTGCCTACTACATCTTTCTATCCTTCCTCCAGACCTTTTCTGCTATACCTAATCTGTTACCCAGTCTTGTCAAACTCACCCAGGTTTCTCCATCCCACGGCCTGCACTTTGCTCCATGATGGGAAACAAGGACTCCTACCTCTACTGCTGTCCTTCAGACAAAAGCTAGAGTATTTGTATTAAAATGTGAATCAGATACTGTTGCCCCATTTAAACCCTTTGGAGGGTATAATTTAATCCAGGGTTCTCACGCTTGCCCACATTTCCTCCACTGAAGAAAAAGCATCTTGTCCTTTAAATAGCCTAGCTCTTAGGTTATTCTGATCTTCTGGCTGGAATCCTGTTTGCTTCTCCCCTTTAGCCATCTCCTGCTCATCCTTCAGTGCTAAATGGAAAGTCATCTCATCAAGGAAGCCTCCCCTGGGCCACTGGTTAGAGGAGCCCACCTTCATTCATTACCAAGATATTCTATTGTACAGCAGCCTAGCTTACCTTGAAAGTACAGAATTGCTTATCTTCTGACTGGTTTGTTAAATGCCAAAATAGTGAGGACCTTGCTTCTTAACTCTTCCATGAGTGCCTTCGCTAAGTCTTCAATACACAGCACTAGATACGGATACTTGCTAGATCAAGTTGATAAATGAAATTCATCTGAGAGCAGTATTGTGACTACCTGATGTAGGGATAGGTACTATGATAGATGCTGTGATGTGCTAGGTGAGGTGGCAGGTGACAGATGGGGAACACCATGTTTTATCATTTGTTGATTTTATGGCCCAAATAGTACCTTTTGCCAGTGGTTATAAAAACTCACCATGGAAAAACAGATACTCAACAAAGGCTTGGTGAATGAAGCAAACTTGGTTTGTGTTTTGCAGGATCTGTGGTCTGCTGGCTCAGGCTCAATTCTGCTAACTAGTTAATATAGCTCTGCGTTCCAGTAGCCCACATTTAACTGTTCCTGGTTTCCCTACCCAGCCTACCTTGGCATTATCATATGATTCAATCCAAGTATCTGACAGTTTGGTTTTCCCCAAGTCTGGCTTTCTATTTAGACCGAGGACCGTACTTCGATCCCCAGCTTAGGCTGTGGCAGTAAGTAGAGAGAAAGACAGATTACTTTTCTCCCACAATTCCTATCACAGCTGATGACTATTTTGTTGCTATTGTCGCTTTTGCTTTTTGATATGGAGCTATTTGATTAGTATCTGTCTCTTCTTAAGGGACTATAAATCCACAGGGATAGGCACTGGTCTGCTCTTTATTTCTGGCCCCAGCACTGGTCCATTGTAAGCAATAAAATACAACAATCTTGCTGAATGATCAACTCAACAAGGGCGAGGGGAACTTTTAGGGAAGGCTCGCGCCTAATGTACCCTATAATAAGATCTGGTATGTCTTCTTTCTTTGAACGTCTCAATCATGATAAGGGATGGAAAGGAGAATAGTGGATTGGGAACTACGATTTTGTAAAAGCTACAAGCTGTTCACCTTCATTCTTTCTCTCAAACTCAATCTAATGGTGTCTTTACAGGGTTTTAATACAAACATGACTTGATTAAATTTGTTATTTACACAAATTGGCCTTTGGTAGTAAGGACCCCACAGCGGCACTGAGATCAGTAAGGAGGACAGTAATCATGTAAGAAACGAAGCATGTGGGAATTAAATATCTGGTGGTGGAAATAAAGGAGAATGGAGTCGAGTACTATAGTAAGAGAATCTACAGAGCTTTGTGAGCATTCAAACGTGATGGAAGAGGCAATGGAGACAGATGGGAAGGCAGGTCAAAGGGAAGAAGGAACGTCAGTGAACAGAGAGAAGAGACAGTACAAGCTTTTCAAATATTTCTTTTCTTTTTTATGGTTCTGGAGATCGAACCCTGGGCACTTCACTTGTTTGCCAATCACGGGACTATACCATTAGCCCACCAAAGCTTTCGAGCCATTTGACAAGCCTGCAAGATAGGAATGAGATGAGGTCATGTGGAAGTTGGGAGTACAGTAAGCTAAGGCAAAAAGGGGCCGGGTTGGACTCTCATCTTCCTTATTCTAAGAATTGCAGAGAACAATATTCAAGAGGTGAGTTCGAAAAAAAGAATTATAGGAAGAGACCGAGTTGAACGGCATGGAATGAGGAAGGCAGAGCTGGATAGTGTCATAGAAAATAAATGATAATGTCTAACAGCTTCAATGACTAATGCTTAAGTTAGACAGCCTGAAAATACTTCCAGTTGGTTTGGCGACAAGGACACTGGCTGCAACAAGGACATTTTTTGCGGGGGCAGAAGCTGCTATGTAGAGAACTCAGCACACATAAGGAAGTAAGTAGAGACACTAAGCGCAGATTACGCTCGAAGAAACTCGCCTGTGGACGAGGAAAGACACACGGTATGATTGAGTAGGACGTGAGAAGATTTGAGCGCATAAACAGCTGAGGGTAGAGATGGAGGATGGACGATACAGGACATAGAGAAGCATCAACGCCCTCCCTCCCTCTCTATTTGCCAGCCCCGCCCCCATGTGACGTAACCGGGTCTCGCGGAGACTACAACTCCCAGGAGGTCCCGCGGCGTGGGCGGAGCCAAGCCCTGGCGCGCACCCCAGCGGCGAGCGGAAGAGCAGGCGCTTCGTGGTGGCGACGGAAGCGGAGAGCGACAGGGTCCCGGTAACCACGAACCCCTGTCCCCGATTCTTTCTCACACTGAGCTCGTGCTGGTTGTCCCCCGCCTCTTTCCTCCAGTTCGTGAGAGGACCCTCTTTCCTCCTGTGTGTTAACGCTGTGTTTCTTTTCCTCACGTGACGCGCGGGGAAGGCCCCCGCCTGTGGCGGAGGTTATTGGGACGCTTTCGCCCTTTGACCTGTTGAACCCCTCGGGCGGGAGGGCCTCTCTCGGATCTCTTCTGTTTTCTAAGGGGCCGCAGGCCTGCCTTGGGCCTCGGCCCTAATGTTTCTCGTAGAAATCGTCTACAGTCAACAGGTAGCGAGCGGGGTCTGTAAGGACCTTCTCTGGGCTGCGGGACTGTGGACCACCGAGGTGGCTTCCGGACAGCCCGGGGTTGCGGGCGATTCCCGGGCAGTGGCCGGTCTGCTCCACTGCTCGGAGCCCCGGGCTATAGGTTGGCAGTGTGCAGTTTGTACAGTAGGGTGTACTTCCTGCACTCCTTGGGCGGTCCTCGGAAAACTTCCAAACCACTTTATCGAAAGTTTCCTTCTAAACTTTTTTTTCGTTGCATCTGAGTTGTGAGGGAAGAAGCACGGGGTTTATAGAAAATGAATCTTGAGAGGATGATGGGCACTTGATGGACCTGTGGTCTTTTGTAGACCTGTTACCATCACTTCGGTTTCTCTGTCCGGAAAAAAATGGGGTGCAGAGTCTTTTTGGCATTATGTCTTTCAGTATTACGAGTTTCAGCAGAAATGAGAAAAAGAGATATAAAATGTTTGTGCTATAAAACATATTTAAAATAAACCTTTGATATTCTCCCTTTCGTGGTCCAGGTCAGTTGGATTTTTAAAATCACGGTCATGTCTTTATGATAAAGACTGGAGTTAAGGGTGTCTTTAGAAACTGAGATGAACGATGAAGGGTTAATGCTAGGTTTCCAGTGGAGAGGTGACATGAAAGCCTGACCACCTGTAGAACCAGTGTAAAACTCTGGGATTTCGAGGCTCATCAGAATCTGGAATGCTGTCCATACACAGCTAGCTAGCTGCCCCTCTTGCTCTGTAACAACTCTTCTTGGAGCACTACACAAGTATCTCCTAAGACCTAGAGCTCCCAAAGCGTAGTTCTGAACTAACTACCAGTGTCTAGGCATTATAGGGCTCTTCATTCTTCTCAGGTGAATATCACTCATGTGATAGCTGCTTTAGCTGTTTAGCGCAGAGGTTGAGGTGTATAGTTCATTGGTAAGATCGTGTAAGGCTCTGAGTTATCTCCCTAGTATTAGACAACAAGCAACAGCAGCTTTTAATCCCAATACCAGAGTCAGAGGCTGGCTGATCTCTGAGTTTTTGGTAGCCCAGTCTGTGTAGTGAGTTCCAGGCCAGGAAGAGTGATATAGGGAGAGCTCGTCTTTTTTAAAAAGAAAAAAAATTTTTTCTTTTTTTAAAGATTACTCTTTTTCACTATTAGGGTTTCCTATAGTGCTGCTGTGAAATGGTTATTAGGTATGTCCTTAAGTTAATTTTTTTCTAGAGATTTCTTTTTTCTTTTTTGTATCTTGTTAGTTGAAATTGGACTGGTGCTTTGTTTATAACCTGTACTAGGAGTGTATTTGACTATAGCAGAACAATAAACTATAATTCAGATATTGACAAGAATAGAATTTTATAGAACAATTTTTGTGTCTCTATTATTTCCCCTCCCTCATATATGTACACGTGCACAGGTTTTGTTGTTGTTGTTTGTTTGTTTTTTGTTTTGTTTCTGTATAGTCCTAGATGTTCTGGAACTCACTCTGTAGATCAGGCCAGCCTTGAACTCACAAGAGATCTGCCTTCTGGGTGCTGGGATTAAAAGCATGGGCCACCACTCAGCACACATACAGTTTTTATGTTAGGCTGTTTGTAAAGTTTTAGCCTGAGTTGGGCATGGTAGTTCATGCCTTTAATCCTAGTAAGTCAGAGACAGATGGATCTTTGAATTCAAGGTCTGCCTGGTCAGTTCCAGATCAGCCAGAGCTACCTGGTGAGACTGTGTGAAACAAAAACAAACAGCCTGAAGGAGTCTAGGAGACCTGGTGACCTTCATTTTTTTAAAGGTGGAAACTTAATGACTGATTACTTGTGCTGATGTCCTGGCTCTGTGTGTATCTATAAGGAACAAGTTTAGAGAAAGCAAAGTGAAAAGCCTTACAGACATAAATGATATGTGGGCCAGGGCAAAATCTTACGGTTATGAAGTACTATTTTTATTTTCTTCATGTGTCTCACTGACTGCCAGATATCCACAAATTTGGATGCTAAGAAAACATTTCATTTATTTTTTTTTATACTTGATCTTAGCCAAAAGGCTAAAAAGCAATTATTATTTTCTTTCATGTTGTGCCTTCTGCTTTTTCAGATTTGTTCTTACCTTTAGTTATGCTCCAGCATGATTTCTTTGCACAAATATATATGTATACACACACATACATACATATGTACACATTTGTATATATGTACATATGTATATATATATATACACACACACAGCTATGACAATAGAAAGCCATGTACATTAAAATCTCCTTTGCATATTGTGCTGTCTCCTTTGTTTCAAACACTTACATTTTGACTCTTTTTTACTGAAAAGGGCTTTGGAAGATAGATCTCATTCTTTGCTGTATACATAGTAGATGCTCAGGTAGCAGTGTTGCTGAATAAGAACCTTTTATTGATTATCTTATGCTGTATGGCACAGTTAGGCAAGGCCATGCTGTTTTTGTGGAAATACCCTAAGCCTTGAAGTCAAAGTTCTGGTTCCAGTGTCTGCTGGGTGTAGCTTTAATTTAGGCTTTTGAGTTTACGTCACACCATCTGTAAAGTAAGGCTATTAGCCTGCATAGCTGAAAGGAGACATTGTTAGAGCTAGGCATATACTGGTCAAGCTTAGTGGAAAATAGAGTTGCTAGTATTAGTATGTTTAGTTTTTGTTATTTTCTGACAGATTGTGACTATAATACTCTCTTAATCTCTTAATGGTTCATATGATCAGTATGTTTCTTTGCTTCCCAAGGTTAAGGTAGTTGACTGTGACCATGGAGCCTGAAACATTGCAAAGCTAATTGGCCCACATGGAATTTGAAGCTGTGACCTGTTCTCATTAACTTCATGCACTAAGTACTCACCGATATCTGACATATTTTTAATTTGGCATTCATGCAACTCATTAGATATAAGTAAATGAAATAGTGCCAAGAGTAAAAGTATAGATTTTTTTAATTAAACATTTATGAAGCTAACCCTCATATAATATATAAAACTGGCAACCTATAGCATCAACCACTTACCTGAGCTGTGTGATTTAAACATTTCTTTTTATTGTTGAGTTATATTTATGGTAGATTTCCTACCCATGGAAACAAAGAGTAGACTATTCATGGATTGAAAGAGGACCTAACTTGTGTGCTATTCACCAGAAACAGTGCTCTTAGCTTGTGGGGAAAACATGAATGAGCCCAGCAGGATGGATGAAGCTTGGGGAACTCCTAAGAGCTTATTGAATTACAGAGAAATTTAGTTGTCAGAGCATTAGATAGGAGAAAAGTTATAGGGTAGTGTTCAGTGGCAACATTTGGAGAGTGTTCTCTGAATAAGCTGTATACCATTTTCCCTTAGTCTATGGTGTGCTTTTTCACTGTATCACATTAGCTTTCTCTGTAGTTGACCATTTTTCAAACTCACTACACTTTATTGATATTTGTTGCCTCTTTTTTTAAATCTCTCTTTTTATACCAAAATGGCCAATTTAGGATTGGGGATAAAAACAAACATAAAGAAGCAGTATTGGAATCAGCAAGTTTTGGTATCTAGTATTGTGAGGTTTTCAAGCAAGTAGATTGACTGTATGTGATGGTAGGAATTTCTGGAATGATCTAGTGTGACCGTTCATGGTGTAACTTTAAACTTGATGCAGAGTTGAAAATGTGGGCAAAAGGTGTGTAGTATTCATTAATGACAAAGTTGTTTCTTGAATCTGAACGTGTGTTCATACTGGCTTACAATTGAGCTGTTTTGAGGGAAGTACTTCAATTTAAATCCTGCTTTCTATCAGTAGTCTATTTCTGTATTCATAACTATAAAATGGACATAATGTTACTAATTCTACTTTTAAAACAAAAGGAAAAAACAAAAAAGGATGTCTTGAAGTAGAGTTGGTAACTACTGGGAAGAAGAGAGAATCTGACAGAGTTGGCAGAGTGAGTCCTTCAGAGAAGAGTCAGACACAGTCAGAGGACAGTTACCCAGCCTCTTAGGAGGTGGGTAACCAGAAGTGCAGAGAGGGCAGTGAGTTAAAGGGTGGAAAATGAGTGATAACTGTCAGGCTATGATCAGGAGATGGAGAGCTTACTGAGTCTGCTTGTGTCTGTTACTTGAGAGCTTGCATTTGTATTTTGCCAGGAAAGGAGGGAAAAGAAAGGTAGTAAAGTTACATGCTCCCACAGTTATCACATCACCATTTTCCCTTAAATGGTAACTAGATTTTGTATGTTCAACATAGAACCACCAAATGTTTCTTTTTTTTTTTCAAAGATTTATTTATTTATTTATTTATTTTATTATGAGTACACTGTAGCTGTCTTCGGACACACCAGAAGAGGGCATCCAATCTCACTATGGATGGTTGTGAGCCACCATGTGATTGCTGGGATTTGAACTCAGGACCTCTGGAAGAGCAGTCAGTGCTCTTAACCACTGAGCCATCTCTCCAGCCCCCACCAAATGTTTCTATTACAGTCCTTTTAACTACTTACTTGGCCTTTTACGGTGTAAATAAACACATTTTTAAAAATTGAAACTTATTTTTAAAAATATTTTTACCTAAAAATACTAATGCATGTTTATTGCAGAAAATGTAGTGCAGACAACTTTAGAAGATAAAAACACAAAACACAAAATCTAAAGATCTAAATAGCAGATAACAAACAAGGCCCATACTGTCTATGTGTCTTTTAATTTTTT